CCCACCCAAAATCCCTGAGATTCCACCCAAAATCCCACCCAAAATCCCACCCAAAATCTCCCAAATTCCACCCCAAAATCCCACCCCAAAATCCACCCAAAATCCCACCCAAAATCCCACCCAAAATCCCTGAGATTCCACCCAAAATCCCACCCAAAATCTCCCAAATTCCACCCAAAAATCCCCCAAGAAACATCACAAAACTCCACTGAAATCTCCCAAATGCCACCCAAAAATCCCCCAAGAAACATCACAAAACAGCACTGAAAATTCCGCCCCAAATCCCCTCAAATCCCTCCCTGGGACCCCCAGTGGGCTGCACAGAGACCCCAAATCCTTCCCTGGGACCCCAATGGGCTGCAGAGAGACCCCAAATCCCTCCCTGAGTCCCCCAATGTGCACAGAGACCCCAAATCCCTCCGTGGGACCCCAAATGTGCTGCCCAAAACCCCCAGCTCCCCAATTTTGGGGTGCCCCTCCCTCCTTTGGGGTGCCCCTCCCCGATTTGTGTGCTTCTCACAGCTTTGGGGCGCCCCCCCCGATTTGGGGTTCCTCCCCCAATTTGGGATGCCCCTCCCTGATTTTGTGTGCTCCTCACAGCTTTGGGCTGTCCCTCCCCAATTGGGATGCACCCCCGATTTTGGGGTTGCCCCCCGATTTTGGGGCTCCCCCTCCAATTTGGGCCGTCCCTCCCCAGTTGGGATGCCTCCCCAGATTTGGGGTTCTCCCCCAATTTTGGGGTTCCTCCCCAATTTGGGCTGTCCATCCCTGACTGGGATGCCCCCCCAGATTTCTGTTGCCCCCCGATTTCAGGGTGCTCCCCCGATGTTGGGATGCCCCCCATATTTCTGTTGCCCCCCGATTTCGGGGTGCTCCCCCGATGTTGGGATGCCCCCCACATTTGTGTTGCCCCTGATTTCGGGGTGCCCCCCGATGTCGGGGTGCCCGTGCAGGTGCTGGAGGGGCTGGACTACCTGCACACCAAGTGCAAGATCATTGTTGCCCCCCCCGATTTCGGGGTGCTCCCCGATGTTGGGATGCCCCCCCATATTTGTGTTGCCCCCCCGATTTCGGGGTGCTCCCCGATGTTGGGATGCCCCCCATCTTTGGTGTTGCCCCCCGATGTCAGGGTGCTCCCCCGATGTTGGGATGCTCCCCCATATTTGTGTTGCCCCCTGATTTCGGGGTGCTCCCCGATGTCGGGGTGCCCCCCACATTTGTGTTGCCCCCTGATTTCGGGGTGCCCCCCGATGTTGGGATGCCCCCCACATTTGTGTTGCCCCCCGATGTCGGGGTGCCCCCCCGATGTTGGGATGCCCCCCACATTTGTGTTGCCCCTGATTTCGGGGTGCCCCCCGATGTCGGGGTGCCCGTGCAGGTGCTGGAGGGGCTGGACTACCTGCACACCAAGTGCAAGATCATCCACACGGACATCAAGCCCGAGAACGTGCTGCTCTGCGTGCAGGAGCCCTACCTGCGACACCTGGCGGCGCAGGCCGCGCGCTGGGCGCGGGGGGACGGCCCCCCCCGCGGGGCAGGTACCCCAGACCCACCCCGGGGGGTACCCCGAACACACCGCAGGGGGGTACCCCAAACGCACCCCGGGGGTGGAGGGTACCCCTAAACACACCCCGAGGGGTACCCCGAAACAGATCCCATGGGGGGCAGGTACCCCGAAACACACCCCGGGGGGGGGGGGCACCCCTAAACACACCCCGAGGGGGTACCCCAAACGCACCCGGGAGGGGGTACCCCAAACGCACCCCGGGGGGGGGTACCCCGAAACGCACCCCGGGGGTGGGTACCCCGAAACACACCCGGGGGGGGAGGGTACCCCGAAACGCACCCCGGGGGGGGTACCCCGAAACAGATCTCATGGGGGGCAGGTACCCCGAAACACACCCCGGGGGGGTACCCCAAACACACCCCGGAGGGGGAGGGTACCCCAAAAGCCATCCTATGGGGGGGCAGGGAGCCCAAAAGACGTCCCATGGGGGTAGGGAACCCCAAAACACACCCCGAGGAGGTAGGGTACCCCAAAATACACCCTGGGGGGGAGGAGGGTACCCCGAAATCCATCCTCAGAATGCAGGTACCCCAAAATACACCCTGGTACCCCACAACACACCCCGAGGGGGGAGGGGACCCCAAAACACACCCCGAGGGGGGAGGGTACCCCTAAACACACCCCGGAGGGGTACCCGAAACAGATCCCATGGGGGGCAGGTACCCCGAAACACACCCCGGAGGGGTACCCCTAAACACACCCCGAGGGGGTGGGGTACCCCAAAACACACCCCGGGGGGGTACCCCGAACGCACCCCGAGGGGGTACCCCAAACACACCCCGAGGGGGGTACCCCGAAACACACCCCGAGGGGGTGGGGTACCCCAAAACTCACCCCGAGGGGGGAGGGTACCCCAAAACACACCCCGGGGGGGTACCCCAAAACACACCCTGAGGGGGTGGGGTACCCCTAAACAGATCCCATGGGGGGCAGGTACCCCGAAACACACCCCGGGGGGGTACCCCAAACCCACCCCGAGGGGGTAGGGTACCCCAAAAGCCATCCTATGGGGGGGCAGGGAGCCCAAAAGACGTCCCATGGGGGTAGGGAACCCCAAAACACACCCCGAGGAGGTAGGGTACCCCAAAATACACCCTGGGGGGGAGGAGGGTACCCCGAAATCCATCCTCAGAATGCAGGTACCCCAAAATACACCCTGGGGGGCAGGGAGCCCCAAAATACACCCTGGGGGGCAGGGAGCCCCAAAATCACCCCAGGAGTGCAGGTGACCCCAAAATCCGTGGTGTGTGCAGGTACCTGTTGATCCCCCAAAGGACCAGGTGTGCCCAACCCCCCCCGCTCTGGGGGCCCCCAGAATTCGGGGATCCCCCAAATCCCCCCACAGCTGGGCTGACCCCCCCTCCTGTCTGTCCACAGTGAGCTCGGCACCCCAGGAGGAACCTGTGAGTGTGGCTGCACACCGGTGCACGTGTGTGTGTGTGTGTGCTTACCTGTGTGTGTGTGTGTGCTTACACGTGTGTGTGTGTGTGTGCTTACCTGTGTGCTCAGCTGTGTGTGTGTGCTCACCTGTGTGTGTGTGCTCACCTGTGTGTGTGTGTGTGTGCTCACCTGTGTGCTCACTTGTGTGTGCTTACATGTGTGTGTGTGTGCTCACCTGTGTGTGTGTGTGTGCTTACATGTGTGTGTGTGTGTGTGCTCACCTGTGTGTGTGTGTGTGCTCACCTGTGTGCTCACTTGTGTGTGCTTACATGTGTGTGTGTGTGCTCACCTGTGTGTGTGTGTGTGCTTACATGTGTGTGTGTGTGTGTGCTCACCTGTGTGTGTGTGTGTGCTCACCTGTGTGTGTGTGTGTGCCTGTGTGTGCTCACCAGTGTGTGTGTGCTCACCTGTGTGTGTGTGCTCACACCTATGCGTTATTGCACACCTGTGTGCTCTCACCTTTGCATGCTGCATGCTCACCTGTCCTTGCACACCTGTGTGTGCTCTCACCTGTGTGCTCTCACTTATCGTTGCACACCTGTGTGCTCACCTGTCCTTGCACACCTGTGTGTGCCCTCACACCCGAGCACGCTCCCCTGTGTGCACGCATGGTTTTGCACACCTGTCTGCCCTTTGCCCCCCACAATCAAAGCCCCCCCCAGTCCCAAACTCCCCAAAACCGACGGGAATCCCCCCAAAATTGGGTAAATCCCCCCAAAACCGAGGGAATCCCCCCAAAATCCATCAATCCCCCCCAGGAGCGGCTGTCGCGGGCTCAGCGGCGCCGGCGGCGGCGGCGACAGCGGCGACAGCGGCAGCTGCTGGCAGAGAGACTGCGGGACCTGGAGCGGCTGCGCGACACCGCGGGGACACCGGGGACAGCCAGCGACACCTCAATCCCCCCCAGGAGCGGCTGTCGCGGGCTCAGCGGCGCCGGCGGCGGCGGCGACAGCGGCGACAGCGGCAGCTGCTGGCAGAGAGACTGCGGGACCTGGAGCGGCTGCGCGACACCGCGGGGACACCGGGGACAGCCAGCGACACCGGTCAGTGCGGGGGGACATTGGGGACAGCCAGCGACACCGGTCAGTGCGGGGGGACACCGGGGACAGCCAGCGACCCCGGTCAGTGCGGGGGGACACCGGGGACAGCCAGCGACACCGGTCAGTGCTGGGGGACACCGGGGACAGGCAGCGACACCGGTCAGTGCTGGGGGACATTGGGGACAGCCAGCGACACCGGTCAGTGCGGGGGGACATTGGGGACAGCCAGCGACACCGGTCAGTGC